AGCACATACCAACCCTCACTGAATTTCAGGAGCACTACCTCATCACAGAGAAAATGCAGCCGGAGGCTGAACTCTGAGACAGACAGGGGGTTTACAGTATGGAGATTGGTGGCTTCTGAACACAAAATTTTCTCAGGTTAAAGAAATGGGAAATTTGGGCTGAAAGAACAAAGTAAAGGTTGTGTCTGAATCACTCCGCCACAGTTGAAGGAACTTCTTATCTACCCAGCAAAGATAACAACTGCCTCTGGTGTTTTCTGGGACATTGCACATCACTGCTAAGTGGCCAGGTGAGACCACAGAAAGGCAAGAAAGGCCGCAGGAGGAGCCTGGGCAGGTCAAAGATGAAGTAAAGAGGCTCAAAGTGCAGGGTCTCAGGAGTGTGAGGAGTTTTCATTCTGTACACACTTTCCTCAAAGTTTGAGTCCTGGGTCCAGTGTTAGGCTCCGAGGGTACAGAGAAGCCCAATGCACCACCTCCACCATTTTAAGAGGGATACAGTTAACAAGACCCAATATTGCCAAGACGTGGAAGGGGATGGGCCAAGAAAAGGGCACTGGTTTGTGAGCACCAGTGACCTGAGAGAGAGTGTAGCTTGGTGGAAGGGCTGAGATGGAAACCAGACTGTAGAAGGTTAAGACGTGAATGTGTCCTCTCTTGTTATTTATGGCACCAACAGAAAGAAGGGAGGTAGATTCAGGAGAGCAGGCTTGAGGGATGGTTTTGAGACTTCAAACCAAAAAGTTACACTGAAAGGAAGTTGAGAGTTAGGAGGGCTTTTTAAAAATAATTTCTTAATTTGGAAAATATGAAAATTCATTCCCCCAAATCCAGTAATGGGACTCTAGCCTAGAAAAATAATCACACTGGGGGATAAAGAAAGACGTAAGACTCTTTATTCTACACATTTATATGCAATTTAAGGTTTCTATAGTTAGCATGTGATTTTTAAATATTTTTTTGAATTTATGAGAGAGCGAGAGAGAGCGCATGAGCAGGGGGAGAGGCAGAGGGAGAGGGAGAAGCTCCATCCCAGGACCCTGAGATCATGACCTGAGCCAAAGGCAGATGCTTAACTGACTGAGCCACCCAGCCACCCCAATAAGCATGTGTTTTATAATTTTTAAAGAAGATTGACAGTACTGAAAAAGGGAAAAATCTGTAAACCTCTATGTAAAATATTCACATTATATAATAAAACACAGGAAATTAGGATACAATTATATCGTAGGAGTTTTGTAACAAATCAAAGAAAATGAAAAGCATGTAACACCACCAAAAAAAAATCTCACCAGTTTAGTGAGGAATAAAGGCCAAAATAAAAGGTAGGTTAGGACTATGTAAAAATGTGCATTAAAAAACAACGAAAAATAACTTATGTACACAAAAACCGTAACAAGATCCATGTTAGCATGCTGGGATTTAAGGGACTTTTTCTCTTCTCTGCTTTCTAAGGGTTTTGCAAGAACAAGGTTTTACTACCACTTCTTCATTTTTAACAGAAAAGAATGGTGTATGCCACAAAAGAAAACCCAAAACGAAACTGTCAGAGATGAGCCGTTGGAGCAGCAAACGGGGGCTTAGGAAGGCAGCCCTACCGCCTGGCCCTCCATGCGGACACTGCACAAGAACGGTGGAGTGGTGCAGTGCACGCGTGCCCCTCCCGGCTTGCCAGACCTCCGAGCCTCAGGCAGCCGTGCAAAAGGAGGGTTTTGGAACAGTTTACCTCTATGGTTCCTTCCAGGTTGAAGATGACATGATTCTACGTGGAAAGGACTAAGAAATCAAGGACCAGACACATTAGGGATTTCTCCAGGTTTCTATGTAACACACAGTATCCAGGTGGGAGGGGGTTCTGCATATTAAATTGTAATGCTTCTTTCAGACAAAACAATGTACAAGCACTGTGGGGCGCTTCATATTATATACCACCTCTAGCTTTAAGAAAAAAAAAAAAAAGATGCTTACAAATTAACTGCACCGTAAATACATGGCTGTGAATTATTTCAAAGTAAAGCCACAACAGAAAACAAAAATGTTAATTACGGCAAAGCTACACTATAAGCCGCAGTCACTCCTCCAGGAGTTAGGAAGCAGGCAGATGCTGGGGTGGGGGTTAACAGGCCAGGGGACTAGACACCCTGGGAGGAGACAAGACTGGAGTTGGACCTTAAAAGAGGACTGGGTTTCTTTTTGGGGTGATGATAATGTTCTGCGATTAGACAGTGGTACTTACACAGCCTTGTGAATATACTAGAAATTACTGACTTTGACAGTTTAAAACAGTACATTTTATCGTATATGAATTAGGTCTCGATTAAAAAAGAGAGCGAGAGAGAAAGAGATGTGGCCAGAGGCAATCAGGAACTGTGGGAAAAGCCAAAGGTACCCGGAGGAGAGTAATCAGGAGAAAGTTAGGTTGGAAACAAATTTCAAAGAGCTTGGAACATAAGGAAAAGGTAACTGGAAGTTACCATCTACGAGACCATAAGGGAAACAAAGACTCATGGGAAAAAGAGCAAGAGATCAAAAGTTCTGACAACAATATCTGCTTCCTCCACCGGAACACAAGCCTGGGGTAAGAGGCTTCATCCAGGTCCTGCTCAATTGATGAGTACTCTGGGTCTTAGGCGAGCTTGAGTGAATGAGTATTTGAAGGTTAGTCTGGTTTGAGTGAGAAGAAAAGTAAGGAAGACCCAAGCCGGGGTCAACTGTGAGGCTAATTGTAATAAATTACTCTAGGCGACTCCAAACCAGGAACTTTTTACACAAAGGCATGAGAAGATGGGAAGAAGCAAGAGATTCTGCAATAGCCTTTGCTGTCAGTTATAAGTAAACCTAATCGCTTTCAATGCAAAGATGTTACACAGTTTAGTTCTAGGCAAATAAAACTGAAGCCTCTGAACAAATTCTGCCCATTTTTAAAGGGAGAAAAAGGAAATGAAGAAGGAAAATTTGAGAAACACAGGCTAAGTAGATGGGCAAGAGATGGTGAAGTGGCCAGTGTCTCTGTAAGTGGCTCCTTGGAGATACATAGCTGCAAAAAGCCGGGTGAATACAGCATTGATTGGGAATGAGGTAACCACAAACACCACGGTCTCAAATGAAAAGGGATTCGAGATCTGACCCAGAAAACAAGCATCGTAACCACCAGATAAAATTTTAATGATAAACACAAGATGCTCTACACACAAGCAAGACTGAAGTACCCGATGCTAGGCCATAAACATAAGGTTCTCTTAGAAAGAGGAGCCGGGAGGAGCCTCTCTGACCCACAGATCACGTTTCATCTTATCGATCCACGAGACTCTGCCATCGCTTTGCGTTGTGCTGGCATAATCTGTAATGTTGAGCAGATCTCAGGGGAACGGGGAGGCAGGAAAAGAAGGGCTGGCATCTGGACTCGTGGCCAGCCTGCCTTTGTGAGGTGCGTGTCCAGATAAATTCATACTTGGCTTTGGAGATTAAAGTCTCCTTTATCTCTAATTTCCTTTATGACTCTCAGTCCAATCTCAACATTCTGTCCTCAAAGGCCTCCTGACACACCGGGAGACCTCTTTAAGCTAGAAGGACAGAAGTCCTTTCCGAGTTACCACGGAGTCTTAGAATTTGTAGGCAGAAAGGACTTTATGTAGCATGAGCTCTTAGACCCACATTTTAGCAATGAGAGACAAAAGCCTAAAGCCGCACTGATAACTGAATGAACAGAATTCCAGATTTCAGGTCCATTCATCTTTCTAAAAACAGTGGTTCTATAGCACTCCCAAGAAGGGCATTAACCTCTGAATTGTGGCCAGCAAAACAAAAGCTAAGGAAGTGTTCTTTCTGGGCATATCTAGTTTATTTTTTTTTATTTTTTTAAAGATTTTATTTATTTATTTGAGAGAGAGAGAGCATGAGACGGGGGAGGGTCAGAGGGAGAAGCAGACTCCCTGCCGAGCAGGGAGCCCAATGCGGGACGCGATCCCGGGACTCCAGGATCATGACCTGAGCCGAAGGCAGTCGCTTAACCAACTGAGCCACCCAGGCGCCCTGGGCATATCTAGTTTAAAGCAAAAATACTTTTTCTAGGCATTGTAGATCACAAAACATTAAAATAATCTGTTTGGAGTTTTAACTCCAACGGTGCCCTTTAAAGAATGTTTCTTAAGCAAAGAGTCTTCTTTAAAGAAAAAGACTCACCTACTACCAAGCTCTTCAGGCCAAGATTTGTTTTTGGTTTCCTCCAGGTAGGAACCTCTCCTGGGGGGGGGGGGGGCTCACCCCAAAGCCAATCCAGACTCAGGGTTTTAAGTGTCCTGGTCTCTACTTAGGGCATTAAAAGTATACAATGAGACTGTAGTTCAAGACCGCTTCTCAATCCAAAGATGAAACGGGTCTTCTCACTGTACATTAAAGAAATACACAAACTGTATTTGCATCCGTGTTAGTAAAATCGGAAGAATTGATGAAAGGGGTTTTCGGAACAGAAGCCACAGGAATTTACAGAAGCTAAAATTAAATTTCTTGGTGATGAAGACAACTAGAAAGCCTATTTCAGGACAAGGTAAGCAGCAAATAGGTACTGTGTGGTGGGAAGGAAGATTATGTGTGGCCATGGCCCTTTCTCATAATAACGGCTTCAGAACGAGAGAGTAAGAACAGGTTCTGTTTGTGCCAACACGTATTATTCTTGCTTGACTTTTTTATGTCTTCATAAAACACAGACTGTTTGCCTTAATGAAGCTCTAACCTAACATGCCACAAGAGTGATTTAAAAGCTAGGAAAGACATATTGAGACAAATGGATTACAGCTCTACACTCTACACTATTCGCTTCTCACCACTAACTTCAGACTCTTGAATACTTAACAGAATCATGGAGATTTTTCCATCTCAAACCTGGGCTATCGTGGGAAGGTACGAGCTCTCAGGGACTGGGACTCTGAGGGTGGCACACGAAAAAGGAAAGACCTTAAGATGAAGAGTTAATCATCAAGTAAAAAATTGCGTTTGCTTACCCAGCAACAACAACGCCATCATGGGAGTGCACATCGCACAAAACCGCGTCAGGGATGTGTTCCAGTTCACTCACGGCACCTTTGCGATTCTGCATAAGGAAAAGGGAACGCAGTTTACACCGTTCTTGTGCTCAGCGGAAGCCAGCATTTCACTTCCAGCCACGTTCCACGGCCATTTCCTACCGCACAATTGTGCTCAAAGTGGCTGGGGCATTCCAAAGGACAAAGAGGACAACTAATACGATCCGGTGTTAGCATTTATGAGCTACCACACACAGGAAAAGCACTGAAGCTGGGGGGGGGGGCATGGGACGTGGGAGTCACTGCTCCTGGGCTTGAGGGGGTTACAGGATATAAAGGCAATGTGTGAGCAGACAACTACGATCCACAGTAGGTTGGCAGTGGCAAGTACCTGAAGAAATGCATCAAATGTATTTAGACAGTTCAGAGGACAGAGGTATTTAATGATATTTTACCCATCAACAACCCTTACGAACACTCGGAGGATAAAAGGAGCAAGGACATACAAAGATAAAAATCAGGATGGGGAAACAAAGACGACTGCAAGGTCAGAGGTTCATGGAAACAGTAATTTTTTTTAGATTATTTTTTTGAGAGAGACAGACAACACAAGCTGGGGGAGAGGCAGAGGAAGAAGCATGCTCCCCGCTGAGCAGACGTTTAACCGGCTGAGCCACGCAGGCACCCTGGAAACGGTACTTTTGAAGAGAACCCTAAAAGCCATGACAAGTGCCGCTCCTGAGGGGACCAGGTGGAGACACACAAGGGACAGATGTGTCTTCCACTATGTGGCGCTTTGAGATTTTGGAATCATTTGTACAAAGCTCATTACGCTGGACATGGGCCGTGCTGTGCAGGAGGCGCGTTCGTCACCCTCACCACAACCTGACAAGCGGGCTACTGTCAGCCACACTAAGCAGAAAACGGGAGCATCCGAAGGGAAAGCAACTTGCTCGAACACTACTTTTCACGCTTTGATAGGGCTTTCTTCCTAGAATCACAGTAAGAATTCCATCATTTCAGTTAGTGCATGACGTATCATTTCACACTTCACTTGGGTAGTCCTCACTGCTAACAGGGCCAGGAAATGGGCTGAGACGCTCCAGAGAGTCTGACTCCAGTTCACTGAATCGACAACCACTTATCGAGTGCTTACCAAACAAACGGCTTTGTGCTTGTTAGAGAAAAAACAACTAGCCATTTTGTTCAACTGTATGTAACCCGCAAACAGTTATGAAGGGCCAGATGCTTGCAGGTGGGTCTCTGAACACCTTCACTGCTGCCACCTCCAGCCGGATGAGGAGGATGGAGCTGCCTCCCTCCGTGGCTTTATCACCGAAGAGGAAACAGAAACTTAGCCGCTGTGTGCTCTCAGGGTCTGACATCTCCGAATTCGAGCCAGTGTTCACTGACACTCTAGCTCCCAGGCGCACAAGTCAAAAGCATCCCTCCTTTCTGGATGCAAAGGCCCCAGTTATTGCCCAACTGGCCAGCTCTCCTTTAATTCCAGCCCCTCCTGCAGGGCCGGACCCAGCTTGTCTAAGTAGCGCTGTCGAACCTTCATGGCTGCCTCTCACTGACGTCCCTCATGCAGGCCCAAAGGAGCACAAGAGGGCTGGGGGCCTCCGCAGGAGCTTTATTACCTGGTGAGCACACAGCTGTGGGGCCCGGGTGCTTCTTATTTGGTGGTGGTGGCGTAATGGTCTAAATAAGAGCAGTGTTTCTTGAATTCAGGGTTTCTCAACCCCAGCACCAGTGACGTTTGGGGCCGGATAATTCTTTTTGGTGAGGACTGTCCTGTGTGTGGCAGCATATTGAGCAGCTTCCCTAACCTCTACCTAGTAGATGCCAGTAGCATTCTCTACCTACCCCCAGTTGGGACAACCACAAATGTCTTCAGATGTGTCAAATGTCCCCTGGGAGGCAAAATCGCCCCTGGTTGAGAACTACCTTTCCAAGGAGAACTAGCATAGCCATCCTTTCTAACTCTGCTAGAAAGTGTGTGAGTCTGCCCAGATCGACAGTATCCGTCACTAATCAAGTTATGAGGTGACCGGGAAAGGACAGGCACATAGGCAATCTGTCACCATCAGTAATGAACAAAAGCTTGTTGATCTCAAAGTCTATTAGGATTAACCTTTACAGGAGTGGAGAGAGTATGTACAGGTCTACCCTATCCATACAAGGGACTAACTAGCCCCCAGGTGGGAAGAGGCACCACCACTGCTGCTGTCTCGTCATGCCTCAAAACAGCTTTATGTAATGCTGTTCTTGACAGTTATTTCCTACAGAAACACTCCACTGTACAAATTCTTAGCTGTGATCTAATATTTCTGTAGAGATTTTGAAGTGATAAATGCTATGGAAGCAAGCCAGTGGGTTATGTGAGGGGAGAGAAGACAGTACTTAGAGACATTTAAAATCTCCCTCTTATATGGTTACTGGAAATAGCATTTTCAGCTCCTCTTTGGTATCCAGGTGGTGCTTTTGCTTTCTTGGTCCATCAGCGTTGGCCAAAATGAAAGGAGGCTGCACAGAGCACTACTCCAAATCCTAACCATTAGTGGGGAGGTGATGGACACCCCAATCTCACCCCTCCTCTCCTAGAGAATAGGATGCTCCCAAGCAGTGTGGTTGAAAATGGGGGCAGATACTCTAATGGCGAACAAAATGGGCAACGAATCGCCAGCAGCTGACAGGACTCTCACCACACTCCTCCCTTTGCTTTTGGCAGTTAACCTCAGGCTGTAATTGGAGGGAGTCCGGATTTAAGCCAGGGCCTGGATTCCTGTGTCCTTGTAGGCTATTCTTCTACAGGTAATGACATTGGCCACTGCCTACCTTCCAGTTGGTTCTTAACATGTGTTCCTTGGCTCGGCACTCTTGGAAGATGAGCTTCCAGCAAGAATAATCAGAGATGCTGCTCTCGGGAAGGTGCCCTTCCTGCTGGCACAGCCTGTACCAGAGCACTTCGTCTTCTGCAATCACCTTCCACGTCTTGCTCACCTAAAACAGAAGTGACACAAATGTCAAATCCGACAATTAGAGAAGCCCCTTGTCATCCAAAAATCAATCAACACCTTTATTATTGCCCTGAGTTTATGGCAGTATAAAATGTCTCATTAACAAAACACTCTGAGGCGAAAAAAAAATACAAGCAAATGTTTCCAGTTTGATTTTTCAAGATTTCAAAACTGTTGTTCTACCATTTCATATCACATCTCAGATGACTTGGGTAAATTATTATAGAACATGTAAGAAAAAATACACAAATACATAAAAGGCAAAAAAATGCAAACTGCAACATAGCTGCACAATCATACACAGCTTTTCAGACCAGAATCTCTTTACTTTTTACCAACAGGCACTTGTATTCTTATACAACTGGAGACTGATGGTCTCTGAAATAAAAGCCTGTAACAAAATAAGTATCCATAACTCAATACTTCTGGTCATATGAGAAATTTGAATTTATATCACATACAAAAACTTTGACTTTGTATGTACACATTTAAAAAAAATTAACAGAAAACTAAAGCTGTTCACCAGGACTGTAAATCTGATATAGAGAAATATATGTTGTGTCTGGACAGAATTTCAAATCCCAACAGTATGCAGAGGAAATGGCCACTTTCACTATTAGTATTTTGTCCTCCAAGCCTAACTTAGAGAGATGATGGATTTACTTCCTCACAGGACAACGAACAAAGTTGGCTAGAGTGCAACTTTGGCAAGAGGAGAAAATGATCCAGCAAATCAACATGATCTTGGGTCTGCAGCACATTCTGGTAATGTGGCATTAAGTGTTCAATACTTGCTGCCCAACTAAAGGTCAAGACTCATTCCTAATAAAGTGAAAGTCGTGACCACTGGTTTACAGTAACCTGTGCTCCTTAACACTCCCTTGGGGCAACCTCAAGACACTGAATACAGACAAGGAAAGGGAACAGGAGGCAAAGTAGGCAAGAGTGCACACAGCATGTGCACCGCAGACTCCCATTACACCAGGGTTCCTCATTTGAATAAGTACGGATAGGTAGTTAACTTTCAGGATGGCAGAGTAAAGATCTCCAAAAATCTGCTCCTACATAAAAGCAACAAGAATACTGCCAAAAATTGTCAAAAATCAACTTTCTCAGAACTCTGGCAGTTAAGTAAAGCCTTTCAACGTTCTGAGAAGCATTTATTCAAGAAAAACGGCCGAGTCTTGGTAAGAACAACCACCTTCATGTTGTTTTAACTTGCACTAATTCCATCCTCCTCCTCCAGGACTATAGGTAACTCCTTGCTAGCCTTGAAAACCAACAGTCTTGCAACTATGGTAGCTGTAAAAACCAGCAGTCTAACAGTCACCAGAAGGGCCAGATGGCTTTACAGGTCCGCACATGTGCCATCCCCAGAGAACTGTCACCATTTGACCTGTCTGACAGCTTGCTGGAAAGGCCTGTTCTAGAGGCTTGTCTTTATCTGACCTGACTCAAAGCTTCCTCTGTCTTATCTCCAGGGCATTTGTCCGAAACAATAAGGGAGAACTGTTTAACATTGTGGCTGCCTGAGGTAACAATACCAACTGGGGCTAAGAAGAGCTGACCAAAAGCTTAAAAGGAAAACCTGGGGAATGGGATGTCCATAAGGGGCTTTGAGAGGTTCCAATGTATTTCTGGGACTCAAGAATGCCATGTACAGGGGCGCCTGGGTGGCTCAGTCATTAGGCATCTGCCTTTGGCTCAGGTCATGATCCCAGGGTCCTGGGATCGGGCCCCGCATCGGGCTCCCTGCTCTGCGGGAAGCCTGCTTCTCCCTTTCCCACTCCCCCTGCTTGTGTTCCCTCTCTGTGTCTCTCTCTGTCAAATAAATAAATAAATAAAATCTTTAAAAAAAAAAAAAAAAAAAAAAAAGAATGCCATGTACATGTGTAGGACTGTGTGTATGCCAAGACCTGAAAAGGCCCTGATCTCTCACTCTGGCTAACCCTGAAGCTTTACACAAGCACAAAATGAAGGCTAAAACAGAGTTGTGAACTGTTGGCATACTGAAAGCATGCCCCAACATACAGACAGCACCTCAGCAAAACTTGGGAGATTTATGGCTTCAACATATTTAAGGAAATCTTTCCAATCACTAGCTAACCATTAAGCTAAATGAGCAGAGAATTCAGTGGTCACAAATGACAAACACCAACTAGAGAGAGAATCAGCCCCAAAAAGTCCCTAATAAACAGCAGCAACAACAAAAACAACAACAAACTAACCCTCCTGAAGGGAATGAATCTGATTTCCAGAGCTGCCCATTATTTTAAAAGTCCAATTTTTAACAAGAAATATTGAGACATGCAAAGAAACAGTAAAATATGAACCATATACAAGAAGAAAAAGCGGCCAACAGAAACTGTCCTTGAAGAAGTCCAGACTTTGGATTTAGTAAACAAAGACTTTAGATCAGCTATTATACATAAGTTCAAAATACTAAAGGAAAGCATGTTTAGGAAAATAAAGTTATGAGCACTACGTTTCATTAAGTACAAAATATTGATAGAGAAAATTTTTTTTTTAAAAAATAGAAGTTTTAAAGTTGAAGAGTAGAGGGATGCCTGGGTGGCTCAGTCAGTTAAGCGTCTGCCTTTGGCTCAGGTCATGATCCCAGGGTCCTGGGATTGAGTCCCTAGGGGGCTCCTTGCTAAGCACGGAGCCTGCTTCTCCCTCTGCCTACTGCTCCCCCTGCTGTGTGCTCAATCTCTCTCTGACAAATAAATAAAATCTTTAAAGTTGAAAAGTAGAGTAATAAACAAAAAATTCAGATTTGAGCTAGCATTAGAATCAGCAAACTTAAGATTATCCAGTCTAAGGGGGAAAAAAAAAAAAAAAGGAAAACCACGACGACAGAAACCCCTCTTCCCCAAAATGAACAAAATTAACAGAGCCTCAGAGGCCTATGGAATACCATCTGTGTGGACCAACATAGGCATTATGGGAGTCCCATAGAGAAGGAGAGAGAGAAAGAGGTAGAAGGAATATCTAAAGAAATAATGGCTAAAAGCTTCCCAAATACGATGAAAAACATTGATCTGCACACTACAGCAGTTCACCAAACTCCATGAAGGATAAACTCAAAGAGATTCCCACCTAGACACATCCTAAACTGTTGAAACCGAGGATAGAATCATGAAAGCAGCAAAAGAAAAAAACTCATTGTGTGTACTTCTCATCAGAAACCAGGGCGCCTGGGTGGCTCAGTCGTTAGGCGTCCGCCTTCAGCTCAGGTCATGATCCCGGGGTCCTGGGATCGAGTCCAACATCGGGCTCCCTGCTCATCAGGAAGCCTGCTTCTCCCTCTCCCACTCCCCCTGCTTGTGTTCCT